CACACTCTGCATCAATCTCCCACAATGGTGGAGAATTCTCATGTAATATACATATATATTCGTGGATACTTATTTCATGTCCCTTGTTGTCTGTGGCTGGCTGGCACAGCGCTCGCACACAGGAGGGTACTCATGGGAAGCATTTGAGAGGCTGATAGTAACATGTGTTTCGGTTTAAAAGCATGGAGGGGAAGTTCCTGTAAGTGTGTGTGAAGACAGCGTGATCATTAATACCTGTTTATCGAAGTTTACCGGCTCTGTAACAACGGGGTTTCTCTTTGCCATTGGATTTAATTCCTCTGTAATTATGTTCCTAATATAGAAATCATTTGGCATTTATTTGCCATAATAAAACTTCCCATTGCATTTAAATTCAATGTGAAGATTTAAGTGTATTTAGTGGACTCAGTTGAAGACCTGAAATTAAATATTCCTGGTTTCCTTTTCCAAACAAGACAAAATCAGATAAATGCTAGCAGTCAGATCGATGCATGCAGCTACTCCTGTGAGCAGTGGCAGCTGCACGTGCATATCCAGAGAGAGATGGTAGCCCTTGTGATGTGGACAGCTCTTTCAGCTTCTTCTCACTGTCCCGCTCTGTCCTGAAGCACTGGTCCAGCGGGCGATGCCAAAGACTGATGCTGCTTTGTACACCTGAGCAGGGAAAACACACAGTTGAGGAAAAACTGCACGTGTTAAGAGCACCATCAGCCATCCCGGTTTGCTGTACAGTTTGCGCTGCTTTTCAAAATGTTTGCTTTAATAGCGGTGGTAGCAGGACGTTGCTAACATGGCTCTTTCCAGCTGAGCTGGTGCTCAGTAGCAACCCAGGCAGCAGACATAGGTCAGCACAGATGGAGCTGGGAGAGCCCAGAAGACCAGTCCTGGCCCAATGACACCATCGTCTCCAGCCCTGCCATGTTCAAAGGAGACTGGGTAGCCAAATTTGCTATACTTAATTTATAGTTAAAAGAACAGGCTTGGAAAACACATCCCATGACCGCCTGCTTGTGGGTGAGCAGCTGCAGCTTTGGTAGCAATGTGTGGATGGGCTCCCAGCACTGATAAATGACAGATAAAATGGCCAGGTGGAACACTGACACCAGCACGCCACAGGGGTGATGCCGCTCCTGACGTCATTATTTTCTCCCTAGATATACTGAGCATCAGAAGCGTGCACTGGCAATAATTTTTCTTCCATCCGTTCTCAGAACTCCTCCCAGTAGGCTTAAAATAGCAGGGCCCAGATAATCATTAACCACTTTAACGTATTGCAATGGGCACAGATTGGGAATTCATAAGGAGAGGAAAGAGCTGGAACAGACCCGCACTCCCGATTCGTCTCTGGCAGTATCGTCCTCCTCAGGATAAAGCCAGTTCAGCCTGGCCTTGCCACTGCTGCTCCTAGAGACAAGCTCCCCTCACAGCCAGAAACAGGGAAGAATATTAATTGCTTAATATGTGATTCTTCCCAGAAGTAGGGAAGAGTAATAATATGTAGGGAAGAGTAATAATATATAGGGAAGAGTATTTCATCCAAATGTTGAGAGGGTTATGGCTGAAGCCAGAGCCACCCTTCCCTTTTTGTTAACTCTGGTTTTCCACCTTTGACATGAACCCTAATTTAGACTTGGATACCAACAAAAAAAAGGCAGGTGCCCTGAGTCCTAAGCCCACTTGGTTGTTTCAGGGGAACAAGAGGGTACTGAGCAAGTTGAGGATGAAGCTTGCAGCCGGGAAGCATTTCTCTGCTAGTTGCTGATAAAGCAGAAATACTGCTTAGACTGATCCGAGTGACGGGTTGTAACTCTACAAAGGAAAATTGCAAAAATAAGTGTTGGGAAGTAGACCCTTCAAACGGTCTTTGGAGAGCAATCTCCAAAGGGAATTGGTGGGAACGCTGTTGTTTGAAGCACTGGAGAATATGTTGTGTGGAGCTGCCTTCTACAAACCTACAGAAATGGGCGAGGGGAGTTAATTTCCGTCTCTAATTGCTGTGATCTGCATCTCGTTTTGGGCTTGCTTTTGCGTGCGTGTAGCTTTTAGCAGAGGTCTCGGCACAGCAAATCCTTCATGCGTATCACAGCCGATGGACTGCTCCTGAGCTCGCTGTACAGCCAGCAGTGAGACTCCTTCTCCTTTGCTGTACAAAGGATTTATTCCATTAATATGCCCCGATGTTTATTTTTCTGCTGGTACAGGAGTGCGTGTGCACGTGTGTGCATGTGGCAGTGTTTTACAAATGCCTGCTGTGGACAGAATTGGGCTTCGCAGTATGCAAAAACAGCTGTGCGCCACACACAAGGATATAATATTTCACACGGCTGGAGAAAATGTGATAAATCAGGTTTTTGCTGGATTTGCAAAAATCAAGAAACTGGGGGATTCATCTCCACAGTTGAGTCCTGAGCTCTTGCAGGAGAACAGCGGGACTCTCTGGATTGGAGCATCCCAGTTAAGGAAGGGGGACCAGGTCCCCACGGCAGTGTAGGATGTTTACGGACATCTCTTGGCTCTGAAGAGACAAGCTCAGATTTTTTTAGACTTGTTTATTACAGAGCCCAAGAAGCCAATATGAGTCCAGGCTGCAGCTACAGCTTTTCTCCTCTGCCTTTGCCTGGAGGTTGTTGCTCTTAGTTCCTGCTTCGTTCTGCCCCGTTCCTGATCCCTCATCACTGATGCCTCCAGCTGCTCATTAGACAAAACCCAGGTCCCTCCCTCACCCTTGTGAGCCCTGCAGGAGACCCCGGTGTGCGGCGAGGTGGAAAGGCAGGGATGCTGTAGAGCTGGGAGGTTTCTGCGTTACCTGCTTGGTGCTGGGATCACACTTGTGCACTGAGGAGTGAAGCTGTTGAGAAAATAAAGCCCCAGGGACTGAGATGAGGAGGGTAGACGAGAGGCACGGAGCAGCGGTCCTTGTACCAGGCTGGCTCTTTGTGTGGAAGAGGATTGGTGAGCAAGGGAGCGGAGGAGCGGTGCTAAGCCCTGATCCCTCCCCTTTCACATCCTTGCTGGCAGTATGTGCTCGTGCGGGTTCCTTACCACACTTGTGCTTTCCCACCCCAGTCCCAGCAAGGGGCACAAACATGCGCAGCCGAACGCGAGCCCCTCAAACTGCACCTCACATGGGGAGTTTGAACGCCAAATGTCAGTGCTCCTTCCCACACGCACCTTCCTCCCATCTAATCCTTCCCTGCTTCCCTTCTCCTGGCTTGTCCTGTCGCACCTTTCCAGGTGAAAAAGGTTTATGGACCCTACAACCCTCCTTGCTCTCCCTCTCCCTTTGTGGCCCCTCCTGTGTGTAATGAAAACCAGTGACAGGTAGAGCTGAGCCTGGTTTTGTAACGTAAACAGTTATTTACAGTTTTGCTAAAATTTCATGGAAGATGACATTTTTAGGCCACCTAGCTGAAGCAAATGAAATGATTAACATGTTTGCATTAGGTTTCATAAAAAAAAGTATCACTCTTGTCCAGTGTGGTGCTCAGTTCCTCAGGGCCTGAGACCTGATGTGATACCCTGAAAGCTCAGGCGGTTTCCCACCAGGGTTAGCAAGGGCAGGATCTGGTTTCCTAACCCAAGGCAGCTGGGAGGGATGTCTTTTATTGTGTCCAGCAGCCTCAGACACCAGGGCCTGTTATCCTTGCGCTAATGATAGGGCTGATCTAGAGGCGTAAGAGGAAATATCCTCTCCCCAACACCAAAAGTATGATGATGCCAGCCTTCCCCATCCTGTAGATATTCTCATTCTGCCTTTAGAAACTTTTAAATCTTGGAGCACAGCTAAATGCACAATTGGGGTCTATACTGTGGCTTTTAAACACTAAAAGGTGGGGAGTGAAATGTAATGGCTCTGTTCTTCCCTAAATAAGCGATGGCAAATGACTGTAAAATGAACTCCTGAACTTGTGTGTGCAGCGGGGAATTTAGTCCCATCATGAACAAAATGATAGCAGCTGGATCAGAATAATATTGAGGTTTCCTGGATACCCCTGTTTAAAGCTACACCAGAAACAAGGGAGCAAGACAAGGATCAGTGTTTCAGCCACCACTCATAAATGTCCGTGTGTCACAAGCCAGGACACAATTTGTTCTCCATCTTGCTTGCTTCTAGGGTGGAAATAGCCAGCCCTACAGGCTGTCCATCAGTATGACTCACTTTTGGGACAGACTGTCTGGGGGAAGTGGACAGGGGTGAAATTTGAGGACTTTTTCGCTTCTGGGATGGGTACACAAAGACCTGGACCCAAAGCACACACCTGCCACCCATGGTCAGGTTCATCCCTCCTGGTCCAGGAGCATTGGGAAGGAGAGACCTGTGTCTAGCGCTGGAAACGCCCATTGCCTGGCAAGTCCTGGGAGGTACCGTATGGCGCGGGGCTCAGTCCAGCTCCCGGAGAGGAGCAGCACCTCCACAGCTGGCACAAGCCAGCCTGCACAGAAAGTCCGAGGGCCACCGCGTCTGTACTCCCTCTCCTGCCCGGCCGGGCTCGAGGAAGCTGCCCTGGGCTGAGCAGGACACCAGCCTGCAGCAGAGGCTGTCTTGCAGCTATCCCCACTGCCAACCTCATTTTATAAAATAGGTGGCAGAGAGACAGAAACCTGAGCAGTGAAACAGTGGCATCTGGTTACCAACAGAGCTGTCCCCACTGGTTGGGGTCTAGTGTGGGTGCTCTGGTGTCTAGTAAGAGCTGTGTTCATCTAGCTTTTCCTTCAGCGGTGATATTACATGTCTTTCATCTACCCAGCTGTCTCTTTCCACAAAAAATTGTAGGACCCAAGTATCTCAGACCGTTACATCTCTGTCAAACTCTGTTCACATCAGCCAAGAATTAGTAGAGGTAAAACAGCAGGAGGGAGCATGATTACCTAAGCCAAACCAGGTAAAAAGGAACAAAGAGCAACTGGGTGGATGATGGAGCTTCTGTCGTGCCATGCCGTGCCGTGCTCAGGCCCTGTGGGAGGAGGGGAGCCTCACTGATGCTGTCTTTCTTTTTCAGGGGGAGTTGCTGAGCCCGTGTCGATGCGACGGATCGGTGAAGTGCACGCACCAGCCATGTCTGATCAAATGGATTAGCGAGAGAGGCTGCTGGAGCTGTGAGCTGTGTTACTACAAGTATCACGTCATTGCCATAAGCACAAAGAACCCTCTGCAGGTAAAGGTACTAGAGACATTTCAAAGTCTATTTATTATCGTTTCTATTTTTGTTTCTGGGATCAAGTGGATTTCACCTGTGTGGGTTTTCCTTCCCTGCACGCAGTGATCCGTACATCTGGGACACTTAGAAAGGGTTGTCAGGGGCTGGTCCAAAGAGGCCCCATGTTCTGCTCGGTGGTACTGAGGGCATCCCTCAGATGTCTGCTCTTTCTGTCTTTTGACAATTCCCACATTCTTTCTCCTCCTGTTGAAAACACCAGTGTGACCACGATAGTGCTGTAACACCTCACAGCCCTTCAAATGTGTTCATCCACTGGAGACCACAGGTATGCCACTGTCCCCAGAGACAGATGGGAAGGAAGGAGTTACAGGATTTGCTACAACAGGGCACACAGTCTGTGGCAGATTAGTGTCTTGAGACCCCTGGAGTTGTGCCATTAACCTCGATCTCCTGCTGGGCCTCCTCTGTGTTGGCATGAGGGATGGAGGAGATAGATGGAGGGCTCTGACAGCTCTCCTCTCTGTTCCTCACACCTTTTTCACTTTACTGCTCCCCCATGATCAAATACCTCCTGGCATGGCACAAGGGGTGTTGGTTCTGACGCTCTGGTCTCTCCAACCCTGATTCTCAGTGGACATTTGCAGATGTGCACATAACGGGTAAAGCACATCTTGATGTAAGTGGCTGTGAAAGGCATCAGAGGGCCCACCTTCATTCTCTTCCCAGTTCAAAAGCACTGTGGTTTAATAAGCCCCACTGCAGGCTGGTAACTGAAATCAAGATTCAGAATGGGGAAAATGGTGTGACTGTTAAAAAATGGGATAAATTATCCTCCATAGCTATTGATTTATTGTGGGGGCAACACCTGAAGATGAACTAATTGCTGCGTGCCTTTGCTGAGCACCATTAGTGCCTCGGATGTAAGGAAGCACATTATATCCAGGCACTACTGCTTCATTAGCATCATCTGGACGGAGAGACATTACAGCAGCATGCTGTGGTTTAGAGACGGGGAAATGTCTATAAGTATGTTGGTCTGTCCAGGACCTGGCTTTGGCTCTCTGCTGGTTGCTCTGCTCTCTAACAGGAGGCAAAGACTTTGCCAGTGATGGTGCCCAGTTGTACAGGGGTGGGGGGAATGCAAACTCCTGCTCTCTCCTCCAAATTGCAGTCCCTGTGTGTCTTTTTCCAGGCCTGAGGTCACTAACCACAGTAAGGAAACAGGGACAGCCCTTTAGGACTCCAGACTTAAATGAAGTAATGAAATTAGTGGGGCATCATGGGGAAATTTTGCTGGGGGGAAGGAAAAAGCCTGCCTGCTCTCTGCAAGTCCCTGCATCTTCTGATTCAATTTTCCATGTGCTGTGAGAGATCAGTAGTTTCATCCCAAGCCCCAGACCCAAGGTGTTTTAATTTCTTGGCTCTAGTAGCTCAGAGCAGAATGAAACACAGGAGGGGAGATGTGGACAAAGCAGCGTTTGTTTATTTCTGGAAAGCTGGTCCATGAGTGCCTTAATGCTTCCTGCATCTCCGATCGGGGGTGCGATGCTGAGCAATATTGAAGGTTTGTGGGTGCAGATTTGCGAGCGTGTGTGTAGCCAGCACTGCCTTTAATGAATGACCTCCAAATGCTCTACACCTTCAAGTGGCTCAAGGCAACGGGTCAGTGACTTCCCTCCTACTGCTCACTCGGCTAAAATTTGTTGGAGCTATTCATAGACAAGCTCTTCTCCCACACACAGGTTTCAAAAGCCCGTGCAAAGCATTGCTCTTTCTGGGCTCCCCTGTTAGAAAGTGGCCTGATCTGCTGGCCTTTGCCACAAACACAAAAACTGAGTGGCAGGGGCAACGGAGTTAGCTCAGCTCCAGGAGCGAGGGTCCCAGAGGACTGTGCAGACCCCGGGCTCGGAGGCTTCACGTTGCTGGCTTCGACTTCACAGTGCTTCTCGCAGAAGCACTCGGAGATTTGGAGGGTGGGAAGAAGCAACTGGAGCAAAAAGCCACTTGGTCTGGAATACATGCGGCGTGTGTGGAGTCACAGCTGCGTGCCCGGGCACCCTGTCTGGTGCCAGCACAAAGGCACTTCTGGGAAGCAGATGCTACACTAGCACTAGTATGTGAAATCCCGTGGGAAGTGGCTGATGTACCAGGCCTGGACTTCCCACAAGGACTAAGTGCTCGGGCCCCCCATAACCCATCACCACGCATGCCATCGGGGTTTCCCTCGTTCCTCAGTGGCTCTCACCATCCTCTGACACTGGGAAAGGGAGGCAGAGAGGACCCAGGGGCTGCGATGCCCTGACACTATGTGCCGTAACAACGTGTTACAGCATGTGCAGGTGGTAAGAGCATCCTTTCTGCTTGGACTTCACCCCACACATGGATAACAGGGGCCACCTGGACATACAAACATGTCTCTAAATAAAGCAACAGTCCCTGGCCTTTCTTCTCAGGGTCTGCTGGAACATCTGCCCACCTTTATTCTTACTAGAAAGCTCTGAATTTCTCAAACACAGGTTTTGGAGGGCAAATGCTGTAGGAAGTCATGGTTCTCTGCTTATTCCAGACCAAGCGTAATAGAGGCAAGGACCACACAAACCTCATTTGTCAAATGAAACCTGTTTGGGTGATGCTCTGAGCCTGGCCAGCAACGTGGCCTACCTATCCCCTGAGACTATGCTTGTGTCCTCTCATGTGACAGACCACTGGAAAGCCAAACCCAGGCAGCTGGCAAGCCCCAGACTCCGTGAAGCATGTCCAATCGGTCCAAGCAGAGCAGCACACCCGACACCCACATGTTCCCCAGGATCTGCATGTTTCTCTGCCCATTTTGACATCTGCTGCACATTTTTTGGAGTGCTTAGGAACACAGCACAGGCCAGATGTGTGTGGAGACACATGGCGTGGGCAGAGAAGTTACAGCCAGGGGAACATGGTTCATGCATAATTAACACAGGCTCCTTCCAGCCTCCAGGCCGTTATGATGTCTCATTCCAGAGAGAGGCCTTTAGTCTGGTATTTTGGCAGAATGAATCTCTATAAATTAACCACCCCCCCATTGCTGGACTGCAGGCATTTAAGAGCAAAGGTCTTAAAGCAGCAACACTGCAAACCCACTGAGACTGGGGGATTAAAGTTGTTGGACAACATGGCAGGTGTGCTGCCAAGCAGCAGTCAGGCAGCAAATGAGCAAAAATATCCCACCAGCTGTGAGAAACCAGAAGGTCCAGAGCTTTTGTCCATCCATCCATCCATCCATCCATCCATCCATCCATCCATCCATCCATCCATCCATCCATCCATCCATCCATCCATCCATCCATCCATCCATCCATCCATCCATCCATCCATCCATCCATCCATCCATCCATCCATCCATCCATCCATCCATCCATCCATCCATCCATCCATCCATCCATCCATCCATCCATCCATCCATCCATCCATCCATCCATCCATCCATCCATCCATCCATCCATCCATCCATCCATCCATCCATCCATCCATCCATCCATCCATCCATCTTCCTGCTCTCCAGTCTGCCAGTCACTGAGACAGGAGTCGTGGGCATGGAGGCTTTAAATGCTCCTCTCCATTGCAATATTTGTGCAAAGCCTATGATATTAAAAAAGCTCTGAAGACATAGGGTTTTAGAAGCATGTGATAGTACTGCAGGCACCCTGGTGCTGATACATAGTGGAGTAGGTATCTGCTGTGATTGGACTCTGCAGTGGATTTCATCTATACAGCTCCTTTGTAGCCGCTCCTGAGCCACATCCACTCTGATGCTTTGATTTTAGCAAATAGAAAATCCGTTTGAACAAACCTACCCAGACCTACAACTGTCTGCAGTCTTGGAGAGTTCAACTCTGCTTTACAGTTGTTATCTCTGACTCTTCCTGTATTGTGGGTTGTTTCAACTCCAAAGATCCTCAGTTATCCAGTGCTGAGGTTGGGATCCGGTTCCAGTTCTCCTCTGGCTCTGTTTTGGCTGTGGTGATGCTCTGTTAAGAGCTGATGAGTGTTTGTTTATATGGCCTCTTCATCGCCACATCTGCAAGAAAAGTGGCCAAGGTTCCAGGGTATTTCAACTTCAGTCTGAGCTTCTGAGCTAAAAAGCTTGAGGCAAGTTCCCTGGTGTCTCTTGGTTGACCCAACTTACTGAATCACTTGTGTTGACTATGAGCTTTGGCTGGTCCCTGCTGAGCTCCAGCTGCAGCCTGCAGCCTGCAAGCAATGGGTGCAATCACAGTAAGAGAGCCTTCATGGCCTGTGGCTCATAACGGCGGCTTTCTAGGATGCCAGTAGTGTAGCCTGAGTCTTACCAAGTGCCCTGGCACATGGAGGAGAGGGGGTTTCATCACTGCACATTTCCATTACACAGCCCCAGTGGACCCTCCTTCCTCCCTGCTGTCTTTCCAGTATCTGAATAAGCCACAGCATCTGTACAGCAGGGAAGCTATCAAAGCAGTGGCATAACTTTGCTTGGAGAATTTATAAAAAGAAAAGCCATCCTCCAAAAAATGATCGAGGAGGATGGCCAGGGCCTCAGGACAGCAGCGAGGGGAGAGCCAGACCTCAGCAGTGCTGGGAATGGTCCACTCCAACCTTCTAGGAAAAACCTCTGCTTGCTTGTGATCCTGGGTCTGAAAATTAAATTGCTGACTAGCACAGTTCAGGATGTTAATGATACGTACGAAGGGGACGTGTCAGATACAGCAATAAAAATAAACTGAAGTGCCTGAGGCAGGCATGGGGGAGCTCTCAGAGGAGTGTAGGATGGCTTTTCCAGCAAGCAAGTCTTCTTTGCAAGCTGCTGCAGTAAGACATAGATATCTTCTGCAGGCAAATATCTGCCTTGGATCTGCTCATGCTGGTGCTTGGGAGCCTTTGGAGACTGCTGGTGCCAAAGAAAGGGAAATACGGATCAGGCCTTAAATACTATAGTAATGACATTATTAATCTGTGTTACATTACCACTGGGGGTTTTCAATCACAAGCCTCTGCACAGAAGCACTGAAGCAAACAGGGAAACATGTTTGTCCCAAGTACAACCCGTAGGTTATGAAACAGTGCAAGAGAACAGGAGTGACATGACTGGCAGGCACCAGTCCCAGCTTGGCCCCTGCTAAGGTCATCACAAGTGTCAGACCTTGGCTCCTAAGAAACCCTTTCTGAGGCATCTGGGTCGCAGAGCTTCGCGATTTGAGTAAAATGGGGAAACCTGGGGAAAATCAGTCCAAGAGAGCGTGGTGTTTTGCATGTGCACATCTGGGTGGTGTGCCAAAGCACTCGGCCAAGGGGGATGGCAGCAGAGGACAGACAGCTCCTGAGTGAATGAGGACATTTCTTCAGAAGGGTCTGGAGGGACGGAGCCCTTTTTCCAGCGCAGGTGGCAAGCCATTGCAGAGAGCTGCTTGGGCATGCTCTGAAGCCATTGTAAGCCCGGAGATCACAAAGCTGCTCCTGTTTTCCTGCAGGAGCCTTTAAAGCTTTCTGGTACCACCAAGTCCTTAGTTCTGCCCTGTTCAGCACTGGCAGAGCATCTGTAGAGCTTTCTACCTGCCTAAAGGTCACATTCGTGTTTGACAACCTGGGTGAGCTGCAGGTTGTTAAAGGTGCACTTCAGTACAGCTCAGCGGCTACCTGGGACTCAACAGTCATTATCAGCTGAGGAAAGAAGGGTTTGGTTTTAGGTCTCTCCCCGCAAGGTGTGATTGTTTGGCACTGGGACCTTGCTAGAGCTTGGATGTTTGAGCTGGAGATTTGAAGGGAGGGGGCTGTGTCTGCAGCCAGGCATTCAGACAAAGAGCTTTGGGGGTTTCAGACATGCCAGTAAAGGGGCTCTGCAGCATTGCTGAGGCTTTTCTTTGCAGCTCTAGCGGTGACCTGAGGACAATAGGGTCACTCACCAAATCCCTGGTCTACTGGCCATAATGATAGTGGAGAGGGGTTAGGAGAACGGGCGATTTTCTAAGGGCTGTTATGAAATCTGAAAGGCACAGTGCTGTGATTGAGGCAGGCTCCTGAGGCCACCGGTGCAGGGATGCATCAGGCCCAGCTCCTGCAGCTGAAATTCATCAGCACGTTCCACCTCCAAACAGCTCTTGGACCTTTCTATCTGTGCTCTCACTGGGTAACATGCTTTATCCTCTGTCTCACCCCTTCTCTTCTCTCTGTGCTAACCTCATAACCTAGGATGTGTAGCAAAATGGAATTAAAAGATGAAAAATAATTACTCCAGTTATTGGTGGCTTGGGCTAGATGTCTGATGCTAAATTGCAGTTCTCAGGGTTGCCAGAGAGGAAATACAACATTTATTACTTACTTTTTTTTTTCCCTGGAAAATATTAAATTCTTCTGCAAGCTGGTTATTTTCCCCAGTGTTCAGCTCTGACCCATTTACCTCCTTGCCAGAGGGTAATCACACCTCAGTGCCACCTCCTGAACAGAGTCAGGACTGCTGCTGCGTGTGTCACTGTCACTTAGTGCCAGATGCCGGGGGAGAGTCTCCGACCCCCTGGCACGGCTGACGGACTCCAGCCTCTTCATTATCGCTGCAGCGAACTTCCCAGCAGCTGCTGCCAGCCGAGCAGCGTCAGGCAGCGGCTCTGCCTGTGTTCCAGCCTCTCTGTTCCCAACCAAAGGGAGCGGGATTTGAAGTTTGCACTCGGGTGTAACTTCTCCGTGCCCTGAGCCCCATCCCCTTTCACAGTGTATTTAGTACTACACCTAAGCCTCGCTGTCTCTGCAAAGCAGTGGTGCTAGTTGTATTTGTCTGCTAGTTGTAGAAAACAGCTCCTTCTTCTTTTTCTGTCTTTAAATGCTACCTTGGAAGGACCTGTTGCCACCACAGGCCTTGCAGTGTGCCAGACAGATGGTGAGGAGCCAGTCCATTACCTCCTCTCGAGAAAGAAATGATGCAGAATGATTTGGCTGGCACAGGCGCACACTGGTCAGCATGAGGAACCTGCAGGAAAACCTTCACAGGCAGCACCAGGCTGTGCACCGGGCTCTCTGCACTCCCGTCCCCTCGGTGTTTGCAAGAGGTAGTGGAAGGGGAGATGAGGTCTGGGGAAAGCTGCAGGGGTGAAAGTGCAACCCCACGCACTGAACCAATTCCTCCCCACCACGTGCCTCTAGTCCTGGAGCTCTGAGCTGATGGCACCGGTTGTGGATTTGTCCTGCATCTGTTTGGTGCTGTTGAGGATGAAGTTGAAGAGCTGATGGGAGGGCAACATAGCTGCTGATCCCACCCTCAGAACTCAAATTTGGGGGTGAAGGTTGCTGGGAGGTCTATCACCCCCTCTCAGCTCTGAGGTGGCCTTTGCTCTGTCTCATGAGGGGAGAGGAGTGGCACAGCTGTGCGTCTCCTGTGGACTCCAGCACCCTTGACCCTCCCATCGTGACTGGCACCACCAAGCTCCCAGCCCTCAGAGGAGGGCAGTTCACTACCTCAACTTCTTCGTGGCACAAAGGGGCCACTGGTGTGGCTGGGGCTGCTGGTGGAGGCGTGTAGCAGGTTGGGCTATGGCAGAGTGGGAACGGGCTGTTTAAGAGGTCACTGAGCGTCCCCAGTGCTTGGTGTTTGCCTTTGGCTGGGCCAGCTGCTGGAGCGGGTGGCAGGAAGGGCACTGGGGTTAGCGGAGCATAGTCCTGCCTCAGCGCGGAACAGGTTCTCTTCTGTTCAGCAGCTTTATGGCCATCTACTCTGTGGCCAACTATGAAATAAGCTGGTACCACCCACCTCACTGATGCTGCACACCCCAACATACAATTTGAGGGCTGTCTTCCCTTGCAGGACATAAGCCAAGGAGCAAGGCTGGCAGAGGCAGACTTCATCTCACCTCTGAGCCAAGCCAGGCAATCTCCTTGCAGCTGCAACCCACAGACCTCAGCCTCAGGCTGAAGCTCTTGTCTGTTCCTCTCCAAAGGCAGCCCTTTGCAGGGGAGTGCATTTGGTTCAGGGGTTTGGTCATTGGACTGGTAGCAATGCCATGCATGCCTGTACCAGCACAAGTCACCTGTTGTCCTTCTTGCCCTTCAATCAGGGTTCAAAGTCCTCTCTGCCTCCCGAAAAACACTGGTAACTCCTGTCTGGCCTGAGCATTAAAGAGGGACACAGCAACTGAACTCCCTTCTTGCCCTGTAAAAGGATTGGACAAGGCTTGACGACTGACCTTGCTGTCCCAGGATATGTTTGGCAAACGCGCAGGGTGCTGAGGGCTTGCCAGAGATGCCACCTCACAGGGACACTGAATTTGGGCTGAATCCAGGCTAAACATTTTCAGTTCCTCTGAATCCTCTATACCTGCAGGAGTTTGAATTCTGCCTTTATTTATCCTTCTGCCAGTCCCACTGAGATTTCAAGGGCATGTGTCTCACAGCTAAAAGTGGCCTATATACTTCGATGCCAGGAGAGACTGTCTCTCCCCAGCCTGTTTACGCATTTGATTTCTGATTTGCAGGAGGGGCTACAGACCATGTCCCCAAGTCTTGTTAAAGAAAGCAATTTCTGCTCTTGGTTTTTACAGAGCAGTTCTCTCAGCAGTGTAAATCTGAGCAGGGAGGTTTTATGCTGGATGACAGAGAGGAACCCAGGCTTAGGATATTTATACTGTAGCTTATACAAAGCTATTTGACATAGTGAATGGATTTGGGGGAGTTATTTCTATTTTTTCTTCTTCTGAGGAAGAAGCATTGGCGTTTACCTTGGAACACAGCCTGAACGTGTCATCACCTAAAGGCAGGGTGTCCTGACCACAGCAACTTGTGTTGTTTGTAACAAGTTTTGTGGGATGTGCGTTGCCACTGCGAGATCCTACCTAATGCTGTGATCCTGTCAGATCTCACAAAGTGGCACAGAGCCAGCTCATGGGAGGCCTCCGAAGGAAAGCTTGGCTCTCTGAGACACTTCTTCTCATGGTAATAGGATGCCCTGGCTGAGGATGCTGCCTGGCCTCTATGTGAGGTAGCAACTGAATGTCCTGGTTTGTGATGGCCACCACAGACCTACTGTCACATGGATGTCACTTTCAGTGTCTTGCCCCCAGTCCATCCTGCCTCCCTCAGGTCTCTGTGCTTTCCTGGTGAGATGCAGGATTCCTCCCCATGTCCTCCTCACCAATGCTGGCAGGAAACACGGGGCCACACACTGTTGAATGACTGCCATGCTGCACCCCAGATGTGGACCAGGTAAAAGCATCTATACATAGGGTGCACATACAAGTTACAGGTACTCTTTGAGACCTCCAAAACCACCACAATGATGTAAAACAGCAATGATGTTCCCCATGTAACTAATCTCTTCTATTTTTCCTTCCTCCCTCCCCCTTGTCCCCTCTCCTCTCCCTGTTGCCTCCCCTTGCAGTGGCAGGCCATCTCTCTGACAGTCATTGAGAAGGTTCAGATAGCAGCGGCCATCCTGGGTTCCCTCTTCCTCATCGCCAGTATCTCGTGGCTCATCTGGTCGACCTTCAGTCCTTCGGCCAAATGGCAGCGCCAGGACCTGCTCTTCCAGATCTGCTATGGAATGTACGGCTTCATGGACATTGTCTGTATAGGTGGGTGATCGCATCTCATGGCACGGCCGAGGTTGCCCACCTGCTCACCCGCGGAGAGGAGCGGGAGATGGCATGGAGAGCCAGCTGGTACAGCTCGGCTTGGATTGAGCCTCCCCGGCTTTTCCTCCTCTTTGCTTTTGTGACACCTATTTTAAAATCCTCTCTGCTTGTCTGGGCAGCCCTGGAGTATCTCTTTGGCTAGGCTGGCAGAGGGCCCTGCAGCAACCCCAGAGAGAAACAAATCTCTCTTCAGAGCAAGAAGAGGGTGGGGAGGTCTGGGGGAGGCTGGGGAGTGTAAGGCTTTTAGGAAAGTCCTTCCTTTCTGGAATAGCCAATTTAGGGACTGCCCCATGGTTGGGTACGGCAGGGTGTCTCCACGTGCAACGCCTTGGCTCTCCAGCACAGTCTCTCTCCTGGGCAGGGGTGGATGCCCCTTTTTTGGCCCATCATGGAGCTGCAAGTCCCAACCAGCCCAGGTCATGGCCCACCCTGGGGTCCTTGTCAGATTGCTGGTACAGAGTAGCTCTGATGAAGAAGCTGCCCCACACTGAGCAAGTCCAGACAGCAAAGTAGATGCTGGCAGCCTGGCCCCAGCAGGTCTCCTCGAGAGCAAGAGCTGTAGCCCCAGTGCAGACCTGTTGGATGGGGGGACATAGCCGATGATACCTACGGGCAGAGGCATTCACCAGCCAGGATGTTGAAAGAGTGGTGGTTGCCAAAACAGTTCAATGAACACCAGCCACCTCCAAATGTGCTCCTGAGCAGCGTCCACCCAAGCACAGGCCACCAGATAACATCAGTTCAAGTGACCCTGCCAGGAAGCAAAGAGGGTCCCAGAGAGCTCCTCATGTCTGGGTCCTTCCATTATTGGTATAAAGGCAGAAGGAGCCTCCCAGAAACATGGTGGGACAAGGCAGTCCTCTTGACTTGGTGGATTTGTGTTTGTGTGGGTAGGGCCACTCCAGAGAAAGGAGCACAGTCCCCAGCTCAGCCCTCAGGAGGAGCAGGACAGACATTATAACAGAGCAACAGTACAGAAGCAAAACAAACCCAATGGCAGGGACAGAGTTCTGGACAGCACGCCCTGGTATCCGGGTTCAAATGGATCTTGGCTTCAGCATCCTTCCAGCACAGGACTTGGGCCTGCTGAAACCCAGACCAATTCCTCCCACTGTTGCCACCACTGTGCTGACAAGGAGATGTGAGTTTGGCCTGTAGACATCATCCTGCTCCTCCATGAGGTGCTGGTGGAGCTACCACATGTCTCCAGGAACAAAGGGTGGCAAAGCAGGATGAAAGAGAGACGAGCAGCACCCACATTTTGGCACAATAGCCACTGGGGACATCCTCTTGCTGGTGTGATTGGGAGTGGGAAAAAATGATCCCTGTGTGTGTGCAGTGTGCATGTGTGTCGCCTTGTTGGCAGAGGACTGAAGTGGAGAGCCCTGGCCTGGGCGGACATCAGTAACATGATTAACTGGCTTTGATAAAGCTTCAAGAGCTGAGGGGAACTGATTAGCTCATCTGTCAATAGGAGCTAAATCCTCCCACACAAGGAAGAATAAACCACGCCAGCCATGAAGTGAAGGGGAACTGGGCAGAAAAATTCAGATTTGAGGTTTTTTGTTTCTTTCTTATTAATTTTTTTAAGCGTCTGGCCTCTATTTCTCTTCTCTACCTTCTCTAAAGGGAAAAACAGCCCCTTTCCATTTCCATTGATGTCACTATCAAGCTTAATGCTTTAAGCTGGGAGCTTTGATTTTTTCCAGCCAAAGATCAGGCAGCTGTCCTGTTCCCAGGATCATTTCAGAGTCATGGCTTGGGGCAGCCCCTTGTCTCATGGTCCTCCTATACAGCTGGCAGTCCTGGTGGGCCAGGCATACTGGCTTTCCTGCAAACTCAAAAGCAAGTGGGAAGCATTACAGATGCAGTGAGTTAACATGTGTGTATGTCGCTTCTCTTGCCCAGCACCTCAGAGCAGTGTCCACGCAGAGATGGCTCCACTTGTGTGCAACATGTCTGCCTGTGCTGCCAGGCAGCTCACCCATGCTCAACCAGGAGAGATGATGTTCTGGGCCATGTCAGCCCTTCATACATATCAAACATTTCCCTAGAAAAGCTCATATGTGCATGCAGCCAGCCCTCTGCCCCTGCCGCACTCCAGTGTAAAACCTGTTTGTATTGTGCATCAGTACCTTTTGCAATCCCAGCTGCTGCTGCTCCCGGGTCTGCAGTGGAGGGGAAGGGCAGCTCTGAGCAGCACTAGCTGAGATCTGGTGTTCACTCTCCTCCCCACCTCCTCCTTCTTCTCTTCTTTCTCTGCCCAGGTTGAACCAAGTGACAAATGAGGTCTTCACGGGGAGCTGTGACTCCCTGGCTGTCGATGCGGTCAGGTCTCTCCTCTGAATGACTTCTCTCCAGCCCTGCTGATTTCAGGGGGCTGCACTAATGCTAGCCCAAAGGCTGCTCTGTCCCGTGGAGAGGCCAGGCCAGGTCAGGTCAGCAGAAAGGGCTGATCAAAGGGCACTCCGCGACTGGGTTTAATTCCTCATTTATTATAGCTTTGCTCGACTGTGATGGATGCAGCAATGCCAGCTCCCTAGAAGACTTGCAGTGAGTTCCTCACTGTGGAACAGCTATTCTCCCTCTCCTTCTCCCAAACCTTGCTGCCTTGTGCAGGGACTTTGATCACAGATGGGCAAGGCCGGCTCCGAAGATTCAGAGTTCTACTCCTGACTGCCAGCATGGCCCAAGGCCTCTTGTTACTCCTGCCTGGGCTTTAGTTCCACTTCTGCAAGTTCAGGATAAAACCTCTCATGGATAACTGCAGAGACAATGGTTCTTAAAATACCAGGGTGCTGTCTGTGCATTTTGGTGTCTCCTCCTCTGCAGTCCAGCCCTTTCCCCCTTTTGCTTTCCAGCCTGTGGGTGGGTAGGAAAGATTTAGGAACTAAGAAATGCTCAGTGATGAGGAAAGAGCAGGACATTAAGTGCACTCCGTTCTACCACACTTGTTTTTTTCAGCTGATGTAACGCACACATTGCCTGCGCATTGTTTGCTAACAGGCTGGGCAGCCTTAGCTAGCAGAATGTTATACTGTAGGTCCTACACTAATTGTATGAATTCCAATTGTTCCTTCCCCCAGTTTGACCCCAAGTTTTGCTTTCACTGGCAGAGGAGCAGAGGTTTGAAAGACACAGTATTTACTAAAGAGCAGATGTGCTGAAGCAGAGCTCCTCTGCAGTTCCTGCCAGTTCCCACTTCGGTTGTCCTCGGATGTCTCATGTCCATTGAGTAGCCAGTGACTTTTGTCCAGGAGGCCAGTTTACACACCCTGTCACTGGAGGTGCTCAGCAGAACATTTCCTCTGGCGCTGTAGAGTCTCAAAGCTTGAGAAGACACCAAATCTGCAGAGATCCTGACTATCATCAGACAGACCATTTGCTACGCCTTCACCCACCATGGAAACAAAACCGCAACCAAAGTAAAATAAATCTGCTCCTCACGACCACCAGGACAGATGGTATGGCCCCAAGTACCAGAAGCTACATCCATCTGGGCAAGATGTGCAAAATGGTTTTTCAACATTGTTCTCCCCCTTGCTCCCAGACATCTAACAGGAGGGCAGGAAGCACTGGAAAGGATTGCTTGGGATTTGTGGCAGTCTCCAATACTGGATTTTTTTTTTAAGAACCTGTTAAAAAACATATGTCAAGAACAGGTTGAGGAGAGATGATACCGGTTTGTGAAGGAGGAACAGACTGAATGCTTCTTCATAGCCAGCCAGCCCCAATGTCTTTGATTCTGATCTCTCTCTGTTTCATGTGTGCTATCTCTGGTCATGTCTGTAGGACAGATATAAGAGTTGCATTAAACTAGAAACTGGTAATGGTTGCCAGCATAGGTATTGCTCTGCCATAAAGCCATCTACAACACAGACATTTGAGATCAGGAACCAGGAAGTGAATGAAAACTGAGATGGGGACTGTTCATTTGATTAACTGCTCTCTCCATGAGAGGTAAATCCAGAAAGCTGGCATAGAGGGGGATTAGCAGAAATGCAGTTATTGAAATGCAGAGATAAATGGAGTGAGCCTTCACAGGCCTGAGTTACTGAGTAGGGAGAGTAGCAGCTTAGAACTGGGCTGTAAATCCTGAGAGATACCTGCCTGTTAATTAAATGACAGTCCTTGGAGGGGGAAGGGGGGGGGGGGGGGGGTGGCGCTCTTTTTGTGCAGGTCTAGT